CCAGCCATGAAAGCCTTTGACAACATGTTGTTGTTGTTATTATTGTTATAATTTCTATCCTGCTTTATCTCTCTGTAAAGAGGTTCACACTGGCTAACAATAAAAGAAATGCAATCTGTCATTTAAAACCTAACATACATATAACATTAAAATAGAATTAATCATAAAAATATTTTAAATAAACACATAGTCAAAGGCTATGAAACCATTAAACCAATATATAAAACAGATTTGTATATTTTTAAGCTGAACAATATCAGAGAAGGAATATTGGTTGTGTCAAATTATTTCAGTTTAGAGTGAGCAGAGGGCATGCCATATGCTATTTGAACAAACAGTTGTTGTTGTTGTTGTTATTATTATTACTAGCCGTCCCCTGCCACGTGTTGCTGTGACCCAATCTGTGTATATGTGTTTTGTGTATATTTGTGTGTATATATTTGTGTATATGTGTATATTTGTGGTTTTGCGTATGCATTGTGATTTATTTTTTATTTTTTTGGCTTTTAAAGTCTCTTCCGCTGTGTTTTTCAGTGTTTTTATGAGTGATAATAGTAATAGTAATACTGGTGATAATTATGATAATAGTAGTAGTATTAATAATAATAATACTGATGATGATGATAGTAATACCAGTGATGATGATGATGATGATGATGATGATGATGATAATAATAGGTAAAGGTCAAGGGTTTTCCCCTGATATTAAGTCCAGTTGAAGAGTCGGCGTTGCCCATAGACATCTCCAAGGTCATGTGGCCGACATGACTGCATGAAGCGCTGTTACCTTACAGCCGGAGTGGTACCTATTGATCTACTCACATTTTCATGTTTTCGAGCTTCTAGGTTGGCAGAAGCTGGGGCTAAAAGCGAGAGCTCATGCCTCTCTTTGGATTTGAACTTGCAACCTTTCGGTCTGCAAGTTCAGCGTCTCAGCGGTGTAACCCACTGCGCCACTGGGGGCTCCTAATAAAAATATAATCGTTTCATTATGTAATTATTTCATTATGTAATTATTATGAGCGGCCCCATGTAAGCTGCTCCAAGTCCCCGTTGGGGGAGATGGTGGCGGGTTATAATTAAAGATTATTATTATTATTATTATTATTATTATTATTAACTGTCACCTGGAATGGTGACATCAATAATCCAGACTTTTTTCTTTTCCACAATCGTGATGTCTGGTGCATTGTGTTCCAGAACTTTGTCAGTCTGGATTCCAAAGTCCCACAGTATTTTTGCATGTTCATTTTCCACGACCTTTTTGGGTCTATGATCGCACCAATTCTTTGCTGCTGGCAGGTGGTCCTTGTGACATAAGTTCCAATGAATCATCTGGGCCACAGAGTTGTGCCTCTGTTTGTAGTCCGTCTGTGCAATTTTCTTGCAACAGCTGAGGAGATGGTCCATGGTTTCATCCACTGCCTTGCACAGTCGGCATTTTGGGTCATCCACTGATTTTCCAATCCTGGCCTTAATGGCATTGGTTCTGATGGCTTGCTCCTGGGATGCAAGAATCAGCCCTTCTTTTTTCTCCTTCTTCAGGGTTCCATCCATGAGGTCTTCTCCTTGTCAACTTTTCCTTCAATCTTCTCAAGGAGCTGCCCATGCAATGCTTTGTTGTGCTGGCTGCCAGCTCTGGTTTGGAGTGCAGTTTTCATGTACTGACTCTTCGTCTGCTGTGCTTTGAGAAGTTTCCGATTGTTGACTTCAATTAAAGCAGGTTCTTGGCTTTCCTTGACATATTCTGCCAGGGCATCGTGTTTTTCTTCTTCAACTGCTTGTTTGAGTTGTAAAAGTCCTCTGCCCCCAGACTTTCTAGGAAGATAGAGCCAGTCAACATCACTGCGAAGATTATTATTGTTGTTGTTGTTGTTATTATTATTTCATGATGCGTTTTAACTGCACATATTGCAGTTCAATACAGTAAAAAACTGCATTATACGTCAGTGTAAATGAGGCCTTACATTATGCACATCCCAGAATAAGGAAATACTCTCAGCAATAGGTCCTCTAAATGCACTTGATTTAGGATGGTTTGCTCGCCCCATCTCTTGTCGAAAATTCTATCCCAGTATATTACCTTGTTCATGCCCAGCATTATTATTATTTTATTTTTAATTATCACGTTTGGCCCAGCCATAGGTTTTTAAATGCTTGTTGTTACTGTAATGTCGAAGGCTTTCATGGCCGGAATCACTGGGTTGTTGTAGGTTTTTCCGGGCTATATGGCCATGTTCTAGAGGCATTTTCTCCTGACGTTTCGCCTGCATCTATGGCAAGCATCATCAGAGGTAGTGAGGTCTATTGGAACTAGGAAAGTGGGTTTATATATCTGTGGAATGACCAGGGTGGGACAAAGGACTCTTGTCTGTTGGAGCTCGGTGTGAATGTTTCAACTGACCACCTTGATTAGCATTGCCTGGGGCAATCTTTTGTTGAGAGGTGATTAGATGTAATACATCTTCTGGCTGATGTTGCTATGGAGTTGCTGCAGTTCCTTGTCTGTGTTTGCGAGTTCTTTGCAGATGGTGTGAATTCTCTCGTAAGAGGTTGTGTTCCAGGCGGTCGTGAGGATGCTTGCCATACCTCTGAGGATGCTTGCCATAGATGCAGGCGAAACGTCAGGAGAAAATGCCTCTAGAACATGGCCATATAGCCCGGAAAAACCTACAACAACATATAATATAATATTTACATTATATGTAGTATTACTAATAATATTACAATATTACAGCATTATTTTTTAATTTTTAATTATCACATTTGGCCCTGCCATAGGTTTTTAAATGCTTGTTGTTACTGTTACTGTTTATTGTTTATTTTTTGTTTATGAGATTTATTTTGATTTTTTTTTTGTATTGATGTTTTGTTATTGCTTTTATTATTGTTGTTCTATGGGCTCAGCCTCATGTAAGCCGCACCGAGTCCCTTGGGGAGATGGTAGCGGAGTATAAATAAAGTATTATGATGATTATTATTATCTCCTCTTTGGGCTTCAAACCATTCCCAAAACATATTGCATTAACCTTTGGAGCCCATCTCACCCTCCCAATGTGTCATCCCAGCCATGCAATCTGCTGCTATTTGTTTTCTTGTTGTTTTCGTCACCTGAATGGCTTGGAATGAGCCACCGAGTCATCTGACAAGATAACACACCTCCTGCTCTATTGTGGAAAGCAAAAAAAGGCAAACCAGATGAACGCCCCAAATGAATCTTGAAAAGAGTGAAGGCTGGCTCGGTGACTCAGCTCACCTGCCGGTGCCCCAGGGTGTTTAGTTCCAGTGGCATTGCTCCCTTTGCGCAATCCCGAGAAAGCACTTTTGTGGCCTCCCAGCTCTCCCTGCTTCCTCCAACCCTTGTTCTGCGTTGGTGAGTTACACGGGTTTAATTACACTTCTGTGGGCGGATTGTAATTTCCAGCCTTGGGCTCGGCAAGGAGTCGCATCCAGCTACTGAGCAGGTGACAACGCACCTTTGATATTCCCATAATGATATTTTTTTTCCTGGTGCAGTGTGTTGTGAAAATTGAGAGCAGGGTTCAAATCCCCATTCAACTACTACTAAGTTATTTTTATTTATTTGTCGTGACAGGGCAACCAGTCAATTATATTACATTTCTAACAGAACAAAGCAAACAAACAGACAAAATACAAAATTTGTGAGTTTGGTAGTTGATTAAATGTCCTTTGACCACTATCTGGCCACTTGGAGTGCCTCTGGTGTTGCCGCAAGGAGGTCAATTCATTGTGCATGTGGTAGGGCTCAGGTTGCATTGCAGCAGGTGGTCAGTGGTTTGCTCCTCTCCACACTCGCATGTCGTGGATTCCACTTTGTGGCCCCATTTCTGAAGGTTGGCTCTGCATCTCGTGGTGCCAGAGCGCAGTCTGTTCAGCGCCTTCCAAGTTGCCCAGTTTTCTGGTATCTCTCATTTAGTATCAGCCATTGGTTGAGGTTCTGGGTTTGAGCCTGCCGCTTTTGGACTCTCGCTTGCTGAGGTGTTCCAGCAAGTGTCTCTGTAGATCTTAGAAAACTATTTCTTGATTTAAGTCATTGGCGTGCTGGCTGATGCCCATACAAGGGATGAGCTGGAGATGTCTCTGCCTTGGTCCTTTCACTATTGGCTGCTACTTCCCAGCGGATGTCAGGTGGTGCAATACCGGCTAAGCAGTGTAATTTCTCCAGTAGTGTAGGGCGCAGACACCCCATGATAATGCGGCATGTCTCATTAAGAGCCACATCCACTGTTTTAGCGTGGTGAGATGTGTTCCACACCGGGCATGCATACTCAGCAGCGGAGTATCATAGCGCAAGGGCAGATGTCTTCACTGTGTCTGGTTGTGATCCCCAGGTTGTGCCAGTCAGTTTTCGTATGATATTGTTTCTAGCGCCCACTTTTTGCTTGATATTCAGGCAATAGATGGATTGTAGGTCAGAGCACGGTCCAGAGTGACTCCCAGGTATTTGGGTGTGCTCCAATGCTCCCGTGGGATTCCTTCCCAGGTGATCCTCAGAGCTCGGGATGCTTCTCTGTTCTTGAGATGAAAGGCACATGTCTGTGTTTTAGATGGGTTGAGGATCAGCTGGTTTTCCCTGTAACAGGCAGTAAGAGCACCTAGAGCTTCGGAGAGCTTCTGTTCAACCATCTCAAAGCTCCCTGCTTGAGCGGTGATGGCACGATCATCAGCATAGATGAAACTCTCTGTCCCTTCTGGCAGTGGCTGGTCATTTGTGTAGATGTTGAACATGGATGGAGCAAGCACGCTCCCCTGAGGCAGGCCATTCTTCTGTTTCCGCCATCTGCTTCTCTGGCCCTGGAACTCAACAAAAAAGCTCCTGTTTTGTAGCAGGTTTTCTATGAGGTGGGTGAGGCTACGAAGTAATCTTGGACAAGTCCCACTCTCTCAGCCTTAGAGGAAGGCAAACCTCCTCTTTTCGAGGTTGTGTCCCTTTGCTCATTCTGTCCTTCCACCTTTAATAAGAGTCCCTATCTTTCAAGGCTGTTGCAAAGATAATGGCGAGGCTTATATATGCAAATTGTTAAACATTTCTACCTTTTGGCAATAAAAAAATTGCATAGATATAGGATGGGGAACACCTGGCTTGGAAATCAGTGCAAAAGGGATCTAGGAGTCTTAGGCCCTAGCTACACTGTCAAGATTATCTGCTTTATAAACTGGATTATATGGCAGTGTAAATTAATCTAACCCAGTTCAAAGCAGATGATGTGGATTTTATATGGCTGTGTAGATGGGGCCTTTGTGGATCATAAGTGTGATGCTGTAGTTAAAAAGGCCAATGTGATTTGAAGCTTCATCAATACAAGCAGAGGTCCTCAGGCTGTTGTTGTTGTTGGCCCGGACTGTAAGTTGTTGTTGTTGTTGTTGTTGTTGCTGTTGTGTGCTTTCAAGCCATTTCAGACTTGGGGCGTCCCAAAGGCAACACTATCGCAGAGTTTTCTGGTCAAGATTTCTGGTCAAAAGGGATTTGCCTTTGTGTCTTTCTGAGGCTGAGAGAGTGTGACTTGGCTAAAGTCACCCAAAGGTTCAGAGAGAAGTGCAAAACATTAGACCACGATTCCTGAATTCTTTCCCTTTTGTTCCTACCTACCTTTTTTCAAGTTCCCTCTCTTTTTTCCTATCCCCTTTCTTTCTTTCCTTCCTTCCTTCCTTCCTTCCTTCCTTCCTTCCTTCCTTCCCTCCCT